AGTGAAAACCTAATATCTGTGCATTTTATTAAATTTAATTATATTCAAAAAAATTTTAAGGTAGTAAGGAAACTTGGTTTGGCATGAGATAAACATGGTGAAAATTAATGATCAAAATTCATAATCATAAGCCTTCCTGAAAATGAATTTGAGGTTTTAAATTTATACTGCCTGTGTCATCTGAGGAAACCTAAACCCAGAATTTAATTTTGCAAATCCTCCCTAAAACAATTTACCCACTATTTAAGTCTTTTAAGATTTCCAGAGAATAAGATTACCTAATTATTAAAACAAAATTATTAAAAATTAGCAAATATATTGGGATGTAAACCATCATGAATGACAATAAAAGCAAAATTAGCCTCCAAAGGACTTCAGATATGTAAAGTTTTAAATATTTGCAGAAATAAGCAATGTAATTACTACATGGCAAAAAACAAGATACTACCAACATAAGTTGATATGTATCCAATTCCTGCAGACAGGAATGGATATTTTAGAACTTAAAAATACACTACATGACATCAAGAACAGAAAAATAAGACATTTCTATTCTCCAATTTCAAGAGAGGAAAGGGCTGACTGTTCTTTGACATTAGTCAGCTTATCCCTAAACTTTACTCTGAAATTCAGCAAATCTTTAAACACTCCTGGCTTTTTAAAGGTTCCAGACTAACCCCAAGTCTGATACAACACCAACTCTGTTTTCTTTAGAGAACTATGTCTAACAAGCACAGTCCTCCCTTGCTTAGCAAGTATTAAATTCAGTTTCTTTGTTTCAGATATGGACTTCGGTTTCAGGTATTTTGAGTGATTGTCTGTTCCTTAAGAGAATTCAGTAATAGATTAACATCAAAAGACAGGATTAATAAATAAAAATATGGGTAAACAAAAAACTGAAGTATGGAAAAACAGCCAACTGAAGTACGGAAATTGTTTTAAAATACAGAAAAGGAGATATGTGTGGCACTGAGAAACGTCTAACATAGGTATAACTGAAGACCAAGGAGGAGAAAGAATAGGCAAAAATAATATTTGAACTGAAAATTTCCCAGAACTAATGAATGATATTAACCCAGATTAATAAGTATAACTGCAAAGAAAACCATACCTATGTTCATTATACTAAAACTTGTATAAAGCCAACAAAGAGAAAAACTTTAAAACAGCCAGGTGTGGATGGGTTGGGTGGCAGGAAGACCATTTATAACATCAGAAATATTAAATACCTAGGAATACATTTAATGATACATGTGAAATAATTATTCCTTGAAAACTACAAAACCTTATTGAAAACAAATAAGGGGAGGAATAATTGAGATGAAAATAAATGGAGACCAATTAAATAAATGGAACCATAATTCACAGTCATGGGTTAAAATACTCTATATTGTAAAGATACCAATTTTCCCCAAACTGATCTACAGATGGAAAACAATCCCAGCAACTTTTTTTGGTGAAAATTCAAAAATGAATTCTATAATTTATAGGCAATGCAAAGAGCCAATAGTTGAGGCAATTTTGATTAAAAAAAAGCTACCTTACATCAAAATATCTATTATAAAGTTACAGTAATTAAGAAGTATGTTACTGACACAAAGAACGGTGATCAGAAAAAGAACAAAGAATCTACACCTGCCCTGTCCCGTATGGTAGCAACTAGACACATGTGGCTACTAAAATTTAGTTAAAATTAAAAATTCAGTTCTTAGTTGCATTAGTTTCAAGAATTCAGTAGGTACATATGGCCAATAACTTTTTGTTTGAATATGAACAGTACATACACAAACATTTCCATCATGGTAGAAGGTTTCATTAAACAGCATTTATTTAGAAAGGCATACATTAAATTATTTGATTTATGACAAGGGTGACACTCTGATGGAGTGGGGAAATGTTGGTCTTTTTGAAAAATTGTGATGGATCAACTGAACATCCATATACAAAAGTAAAGATAAACAAATAATCAATAAATCATCCCAGACCCCCTACTTCATTCCACAAGTAAAAATCAATTCCAAGTGGATTAAAGATCTAAATGTAAAAAATAAAACAATAAAATTTTTAGAAGAGAACACAGGAAATTATTTTCACAACCTCACAGTAGACAAAGATATCTACAACAGGATGCAAGAAGTGCCAGTTAAAAAGTCAATACAGGTAAAGAGCATTTAAGATGACATTAAAATTGAGATCTACTGATTATCAAAGACATTACTAAGAGAGAGGAAAAAGGCAAACCATACCCAGAGAAAAATTATGTGCAACACATATACCTAACAAAAGACTCATATTCAGAATATAAATCTGACAAAAGACTACTACAAAACAATAAAAAGGCAGACAACCCAGAAAAATGTATAAGACACATACAGGCACTTAACAAAAGGAGATGTCCAAATGGCTAATAAGCATATGAAAATGTTAAACTGCATTTGTTACCAGAAAAATGTAAATGAAAACTTCAATGAATATCACTATATACCTACCAGTATTTAGAAAACGAAATAAAGGATAGGCAATTTGAAATGTTGGTGAGGATGAGACAAAACTGGAACTCTTATACACTCTTAATACAAGTATCAATTCATAAAACCACTTTGAAAAATGTTTGCCCAAGTTAATGGGTTGAATTGTGTCACCCCAAAATCCGTACGTTGAAGTCCTAACAGCCAGTGTCTCAGAATGTGACCTGATATAGAATTAGAGTAATTACAGATGTAATTAGTTACAATTAGGTCATTACGGTGGGCCTTAATGTAATATGAAAATTGTCCTTATAAAAACGGAAAATTTTGACACAGGGAAGATGATGTGAAAAGACATTGGAAGAAGATGAGACATCTACAGGCTAAGGAGAGAGAACTGGAACAGATCCTTCCTGCACAGCCCTGAGAAGGAATCAGTCCTGCCAAAACTTTGATTTTGGACTTAGAGCCTCCAGAACTGTGAGACAGTAAATTTCTGTTGTTTAAGCCACCAAGTTTTGGTATTTTGTATGACAGTCCTGGAAAATGAATATAATATCTCCTTAGTAGAATATATATATATATACATTGTATGGCCCAGCAATTTCTTTTCTTGGTATATTTATAACAGAAATTTATATATATATGTTTACCAAAACATTTGTTTAAGAATGTTCATAGCATTGTTATTTGTAAGAGCCCCAAACTAGAAACAACCCAAATACTCATCAATAGTGGAATGAATAAATAATGGCATATTTATACATGGAATTTTATATGGCAATGAGAATGAACTGACAACTACAGGCAAAAATATGAAACGTTCTCACAATGATGTTGACTGAAAGAAGTCACAAATTAAAAGAGCCTATATGGGTGATTACAATAATACAATTAAGCATGTAAAAGTAACTTATGGTGTGAGAAGTCAGGATAGCGGTTACCTTTGGAGTGAAGGGGTGCAGCAGTGATTGGGAGGACAAGAGGAAGGGTTCTGGGATGCTGGCAATGTTCCATTTTTTATTTTGGTGATGGCTATACCGTGAAAATTCTAGAAATTGTACACTTATGATCTGCACACTTTTTCTGATGTGTATTATACATAATTTTAAAAAGTTCTTTAAAACTAATATTTGAGTTAAACAGGAGATTAGAACAACACAATCATGTGCTATGAGAGAGATCTTTAAAAGCAGTCACAATGTAACACAGATAGACACAGAAAATATGAGACATTAATGGAAGAGTAAAAAGGTCAAGTCTAATTAGAATTGCAGGAGAATATACTAAAAAGAATGGGTGAGAATCAATATTTGAAGAGGTAAATAGTTGAGAATTTTCCAGAATCAACAAATCCCAGATTAAAATTCAAAATGGAATAAATAAAAACCAGAATAAATAAAAAGAAAACCACACAGAATAAATTATAGTGATACTGCAGAACTCCAAAGACAAAGAGAAACTCTTAAAATCAGATACAGATAAAAGACACATGATCCAGAAAGAAATGAAAATTAGGTTGATTTCTTCTTTTCTTTTCAATTTTCAAACTGACAAAAATCCAGGAAGACCAATACAATGAACACACACCACTCACCAGATTCACAGAGTTAACATTTTGTCTGACCCACTCAAAGTTTCTCTAAACATATACATGTCTTTCCCCTTTAGGGAAATGTAGAAAGTAAGCAGCAGAGTCAGATTCTTCATATCAAAATTTTTTATCATGCATTTCCCAGAAACAAGAACATTGTTCAATCCAACTGTAGCTCTATTACCTCATCTAAAATAATCAACAGTGATTCAATAACATCACTCTTACAATAGAGCCCAGGTGAAATTTTCCCAACCATTCCAAAAATGTTCTCTAAAGCTTTGCTTTTCACATATCCAGTTATCTAGTCAAGGTTTATGCATTACATTCAGATGTTCCTGCCCGCAGGTCTCTCTTAATTTAGAACATCGTCACAATTCTCTTGGTTTTTCATGACACTGAATCATTTCAAGAGCACAGGTCAGTTATCCTGAAAAAATGTACCACATTCTAAACTGTTTCCTCATGATCACGTATTTTCAGGAAGAATACTACTTTGGAACGGTGTGTACTTCCCGTGTTCCAGGTTATGTCTGTACCTGTCCCGCCGTTCGCGACACCAAACTTGACCAGTTTAAAAGTTTCCTCTTTGTAATTTATAAGTCACCCATAGTGTAATAAGTCACCTGTAGGGTAATACTTTGAGATTCAAGAACACATTTTCTAATGACAACTGTAGAAGCCAGAAGACAGTAGAATACAACTTTCAAAATGCTAAGAAAAACATAGTTATTAAAGAGCTGTATTACCAAACGTCCTTCAAGAATGAAGACAAAATAGATACTGAAATTATTTCATGATCCAGTTTAAAAAAAATGGGAAGACTATGTATACAAAAAAAGAATGATTTGCACACAGCTTTAATTTTTATACTTGCCAAGGATTTAACAGCTTAAATCATTTAACATTTTGATCATGTCTTGAATAAAATACTTCACCTGCCATTTCTTCTGAGGGCAAAAGTGATGCCATCTTTCTGGAAAGGGAGCAGCTTTGCTCTTAGCTTGTCAGGCAAAAAATCCAGCTGTGTATAAGATTTGCTTGTCAAACAAGAAGTCTCAGACATAAGAGATTTTTTGATATTATTAACTCTAGGCATGATGATCCTAAAAACAAAGAAATCACAAAAGGGGAGGGATGGGGGAAATAAATATTACTAAGTATATTAGAGAATTAAACATAAATAATATTAAAGTACTTATCTGTGGCCTTGATATACTATCTACATAGATTTAAAATGGTTAAATCATGTTCCCAGAAAAAGCTATTAGGAAAATTCAGAGCACTGAGTCTAAAAGCAATTACTTAATGCACCATTAGAAACTCAGCATCCTCTATTTCATTTGTATTTCTAACTGAGCCATAATATAGCCAAACTCCTGTTGTAAGCAATAAATGTATTACTGAAAAGTTATAAACCAATAAAGAATTATTTTTAAAATAAGGGATGAATTTGCTAAGGAAAGATGGGTCCTCTTATAATTAATCCTTTATAGATGTATATTTTCATATCATATCATATTTTCTAAGAGTATACAACTGTACTCTTAAAATTATATAATACAAAGACACTAAATAAATTTATAATAATTACATTAACTCAACATTAAATGAGATTGATTTTAAATATTAAAATAAGTTCTTCTAAATCAGTTGAATTCACACTATAAACTATGTGATTAGCACCTTTCTCACCACTACTTTTCCACAGATTTAATTTTAATTTTCTACCATATGACAGTTTCATTTATCTGTAGATTCTTAGCACTCTTAAAGAGAAAGTCCTATTAAATCACTAAACTTAAGGCTACTCTAGTAAAACTTTGCATCTAGATCACTTACTCATCTGTTTATATATCTCATTCCATCTTTAAAATAAATTTGCTCTTTTCTCAATTACTTGCAGACTTATAAAATGTTAACCTCTCTCCCCACAAAAGGTAATTAAACTGTGTCCAATGTCAAAGAATCTCAAGAATTCAACATTTATTAATAACAAATAGGCATTTCATGCCACAAATTGGAGAAGCAAGGACTACACCTCACAGGACTTACATTCTTGAGGAAACTAAAAATAAACAAATAAATAAACAAGATGATTAATTACAGTATATGGTTGACCCCTGAACAACATGGGTTTGAATTGTGTGGGCCCCCTTATACACAAACATTTTTCAGTAAATACAATGGAAAATCATTTGAAAATTTGCAATACCTTGAAAAAACATATTTTCTATAGATTAAGCATATAGTATACAAAACACATAACATACAAAATATGTGTTAATCGACTATGTTATTGATAAGGCTTCTGGTCAATGGTACTTAACTTTTGGGGGAGTCAAAAGTTATACATGGGTTTTCCACTACACAGAGGAGGTTGGCATCCCTAACCTCTGGTTGCTCAAGGTCAACTGCAGTAAAAATATCATGAAGGAACTCAAGAGGGTAATGGCCACTTTAAGTAGTCTGCCCAGGGAGGCCTGTCTTTAGGTAATACTTGTTTTCTAGCCAAAGAATATGAAAGGGTCAGCCAGGTTAAACATGGAGAGAAGAACACTCCAGGCAGACAGCATCAGTGCAAAAGCCCTGAGTTGAGAAAGGGCTTGGTGTTTTCTAGAAACAGAATGGAGGCTAATGTGGCTGAATCAAGGATAAGAATTTTATGAGATCAATCTATTGAAATAAGCAAGGGTCAAATCATAGATGGCCTTGATGGGGACTTTGGATTTTTTTTAAATTTTAGAATCGTTAATATACAATTACTTGAACAACATTATGGTTACTAGACTCCCGCTATTATCAAGTCCCCCCCACATGCCCCATTACAGTCACTGTCCATCACTGTACTAAGATGCTATAGAATCATTACTTGTCTTCTTTGTATATACTACCTTTCCCATGTGCCCCCCCCCCCAATATACTATGTGTGCTAATTGCAATGCCCCTTTTTCCCCCTTATCCCTCCCTTCCCACCCATGCTACCCAGCCCCTTTCCCTTTGGTAACTGTTAGTCCATTCTTGGGTTCTGTGAGTCTGCTGCTGTTTTGTTCCTTCAGTTTTTGTTTTGTTCTTATACTCCACAGATGAGTGAAATCATTTGATACTTGTCTTTCTCTGACTAGCTTAATGCACTGAGCATAATACCCTCTAGCTCCATCCATGTTGTCGCAAATGGTAGGATTTGTTTTCTTCTTATGGCTGAATAATATTCCATTGTGCATATGTACCACATCTTCTTTATCCATTCATCTATTGATGGACACTTAGGTTGCTTCCATTTCTTGGCTATTGTAAATAGTGCTGTGATAAACATAAAGGTGCATGTATCTTTTCAAATTGGGCTCCTGCATTCTTAGGGTAAATTCCTAGGACTGGAATTCCCGGGTCAAATGGTATTTCTATTTTGAGTTTTTTGAGGAACCTCCATACTGCTTTCCACAATGGTTGAACTACATTCCCACTAGCAGTGTAGGAGGGTTCTCCTTTCTCCAAATCATCTCCAACATTTGTTATTGTTTGTCTTTTGGATGTTGGCCATCCTAACTGGTGTGAGGTGATATCTCATTATGGCTTTAATTTGCTTTTCTCTGATGAATAGCGATGTGGAGCATCATTTCATGTGCCTGTTGGCCATCTGAATTTCTTCTTTGGAAAAGTGTCTGTTCAGTTCCTATGCCCATTTTTAATTGGCTTATTTGCTTTTTGTTTGTTCAGGTGGGTGAGCTCTTCATATAATTAGGATGTCAACCCCTTATCGGATATGTCATTTATGAATATATTCTCCCATACTGTAGGATGTCTTTTTGTTCTATTGATGGTGTCCTTTGCTGTACAGAAGCTTTTTAGTTTGATGTAGTCCCACTTGTTCATTTTTGCTTTTGTTTCCTTGCCCAGGGAGATATGTTCATGGAGAAGTTGCTCATGTTTATGTCCAAGAGATTTTTGCCTGTATTTTTTTCTAAGAGTTTTATGGTTGGTTTCATGACTTACATTCGGGTCTTTGATCCATTTTGAGTTTACTTTTGTATACGGGGTTAGACAATAATCCAGTGTCATTCTCTTACATGCAGCTGTCCAGTTTTGCCAGCACCAGCTGTTGAAGAGGTTGTCATTTCCCCACTGTATGTCCATGCCTCCTTTATTGTATATTAATTGACCATATATGCTTGAGTTTATATCTAGGCTCTCTTTTCTGTTCCACTGGTCTATGGGTCTGTTCTTGTGCTAGTACCAAATTGTCTTGATTACTGTGGCTTTGTAGCAAAGCTTGAAGTCAGGGAGCATAATTCCCCTTGCTTTATTCTTCCTTCTCAGGATTGGTTTGGCTGTACAGGGTCTTTTGTGGTTCCATACGAATTTTAGAACAATTTGCTCTAGTTCATTAAAGAATGCTGTAGGTATTTTGATAGGAATTGCATTGAATCTGTAGATTGCTTTAGGCAGGATGGCCATTTTGACAATATTAATTCTTCCTAGCCAAGAGGATGGGATGAATTTCCATTTACCAGTGTACACTTTTAATTTCTCAGAGTGTCTTGTAGTTTTCAAGGTATAGGTCTTTCACTTCCTTGGTTAGGTTTATTCCTAGGTATTTTATTCTTTTTTATGCAATTGTGAATGGATTTGTTTTCCTGATGTCTCTTTCTGCTAGTTCATCATTAGTGTGTGGCAATGCAACACGTTTCTGGGTATTAATTTTGTACCTCGCAAGTTTGCTGAATTCAGATATTAGATCTAGTAGTTTTGGAGTGGATTCTTTAGGGTTTTTTATGTACAATATCATGTCATCTGCAAACAGGTACAGTTTGACTTCTTCCTTGCCAATCTGGATGCCTTTTATTTCTTTGTGTTGTCTGATTGCTTTGGCTAGTACCTCCAGAACTATGTTTGGATTCATTTTTAAGAATGAATAGAAGCCAGTGGAGCTGGGCTGTCCAATACATTATTAGCCAGATTTAGCTATTTAAATTTAATTAAAATTAAAAATTCAGTTTCTCAGTTGCATGAACCACATTTCAAGTGCTCAATGGTCACATATGGCTAATAGCTAATATATTGAACAGGCAGATATATAACATTACCATCTTCACTGAAAGTTGTATTAAACAGCACTTACTTGAGAATTTTAAGTAAGGAAGTGACACAATCTGACCTATATTTCAAAAGCTACCAGTGTAGGACCAAGCTATCAATAGGAAGGCAGGAGATAAATATCACTAAAGTCCTATAGGACTTTGCTAGTTCACAAAGCCTCCACTGTTTCAGCAGGCAACTGGACTTAGAGATGATTTCTGACTCAGATCTGTCTGATAAGGTTCTCATAAACACCAATGAGCAGGCATCCCTTGCCCCTTTTCAACATCAATAAAACTCTGAGTTAACAGAGAATGGTTCAAAATAGGTAAATGTCTATGAAAAAAACCTGTTATCAGGCTGCAGTAGGTGAGGCAAGAATCACCTTTGGCAATGGAACTGGAGAGACTCAGGAAATGTAGTAGGGATAAAGCAAATAAGACTTGCTGGTGGAGTACATGTGGAGAATGAGGGAAATGTGAAGACAAGATGTGCATTTAAAGCAATGGAACTGATACAATTTACTGAGACAGTAAAGACTAAGGAAGAAGTGGGTTGGAGAGAAAAAAACAATAACTCAGGAATATATAAAGTTTGAGATGGGTATAAGATATGAAGTGGAAATGTCAAATAGCCTTGGAAATACATGAATCTGGTACTCTGAAGAGAGAATGAGGCTGGATACATGTATTTGGGAGTCAACATAGGATAGTGAACTATATTATTCTTTGAGGCCACCCAACATCTGAGACCCCTGCTATATCTAGGAATGTCCTTCATTACAATTCAGATGGGAGGCAGATATCATCTTCTAAAGAAAGGCTGGAAATATTAGATACCTGCTTTTCCCAGCCTGCCTTACCGCTACTGCATTTGCTAATCAAATATACCCATTCTGGACTTTTATCTAGAAAGTCAAAACTCAAAGAAGCAGGGATTAAGTGAAACACACTGTGTCAAGGGTAGCCGCAGCAGAAAGAGCCATGTCTATTTTCCAGAAGTAATAGGGGTTCAGAAGCACCTTGCAGGG